ACTAGGTGCGTTCCAATAAGTCTTCCTACCAATATGACCATGTTGCAAAAATAAGGTCAAACAACCTCTAACTGCTATTTTGCCAAAATTAAACTAAGTAACTATAAGACAATCGGGACTTTCTTTTGGTAAACCAGGTAGAAGCTATTATATATATATATTTTAAATTTTAGCTAAGTTGAGATCCACAGATGTGCAGTTGCCGGAGAATATGCATCTCTGAAAGGTACAAAAAAGTGTCTAGCTTTTACATTTAGAAAATGCTAGATTCATTCGTAGACTGTTTGTCCCTGTAGAACTTGACATTTAAAGTTGTAGTATAGTCGAAAGAGTTTCTAATGCCATGGTGATTCGTATTTTAGGAAAGCGGACACACAATTTCACCCCTTGACCAACAATAGCACAATAAGCTTTCTATCAATTCTCCGTATCCTGAATTTAAACCTCTGTTTCGATCACGCTCATTAATTAAAATTTTCATCTTCCCTTTCTGCATCAATTTCTAGTCTTTCCGAAATCAACAACATTACTTAAAATCCACCCATTTGCCTTCCTATTTATTATCCTTATATTTTATTCGAAGTCTGCTTAATCCCTCCACGCTACATCGATCAGCGAAAACGATAATACTCCCATCTCCCTTCTATCACCATTTCTATTTAGGATAAAACTAGAAGAGTATGAATCTACTTATATATTCCAATAAGCTTCAAGTCAGAAAATGAGAAGCTATAATTTACATCCTAAGGCCTTGCGTTTGTTCTCTACTTCGTAGTATTTATAATAGGGACTTAAACTCCAGCTTGACCTCACAAATATGCGTTTGGGTTTGAAATTTATTCATTTAATAAATAAGTTTTACTCTACCAATAAAAATCATAGTCATTTAGGCATGTTACTTTTGCAAGACCTCGTGGCTTGGCCGATATCTTAGCTATTGATGAGCAATTTACTTATATATAGTGTTCCAGACAGGGATTGGAATCGCAAATAAATGATTTCTCCCTTCATTTATAATCCTAGACTAGGAAAGCTTTCGGAGGACATAGAGACTTTGAACTAATTGGCAGATTTAAGATCTGTTTTTGATCTAATCTCCAATAAATGATTCATCCTTTCACTTATTAACCTAGACTAGGAAAGCTTTCGGAGGTCATAAAGACTTTGAACAAATTGACAGATTTAAGGTCTATTTTTGATCCAATGATGGATACACTCACCATCAGTTAACGAAATATGGTGTGCAATTGCACCCAACTTAAGTCTGCTAAAACATTTCCATTATGCCCTGCTCTAAAAGGCATTATATTTAAGTAGACTCATCGAATTTTGACTCGAACCCTTGTTTATTTCGGCTATAATATTTATTTATTTTATCTTTTGGCACCTTAAACAAGCCTAAAATGGACATTTTAATGGTGCGGTAGCCTTCAATGACTTGATTCTTGAAGGTGTGATGACTACAGGGCAAATTGAAATAGATTTAGACATTTACATGCACTATTCCCTATTGTAAACCTACCGATGATTGGGTTACTGGATTACATTTAGTGACTATTGCCTTGACAAGGCAACTTTGTATTTGCCATCATCTTTTAGATGAAAAAACACTGCGAAGCATGATTTATTTTTGACCAACAGCACTGTCAACCCAGATCGTATTAGGTTATGTATTAACGGACAAAGAAACTTTTCTGCAATTACATGATTTTGGTATCATGGTGCATAAATTTGTGGGTAAAATTCAACTTACAGTACCTAAATCCCCTCAAGCGATGCAGCGCAACAATGTTGTTATTTAAGCATTACTAATAGTCTACTAGCATACTCTCATCGTAATTAAGTAACATTGTAAGATGTGATGACGGGTACAAGTTTGCCTCATCGACACCCAAACTATAAAAGTGATTTGATTGTAACTAAGTGGCAACGCATCGTCACGATGCTCACAACCAAATTTTGAATATTGTTAGGGGTCTAGTCTGTACTCCAAACTGAGAGGCAATGTTAGATGAGACTAAACTGTATATTGAGGCCAACTGATAGTATTTTCGGGAAATTCCGATGCACGTCCTCAAATCGCACCATCGGACCTAGGAGGACTACATTGATAATCAAGAACACCTGCAAGTTCCATAGAAAACAAATTGCAGTACTTATTACAGCCGACAGAATTTCCGTGTACATCAACTTAACAGCCTATGATTGGTCGAGAAAGTGGATCAGATGCAAAGATTCAGGACTGTTAGTTGAACTGCAGTCCAGATTAGATGAAAA